AGCTTACAATCTAGGAGGAAGGCTTGAGTGATACAAAAGGTAATAGCTGTGGGGGGGAGGAGCTGATGGAGGAAGTAAAAGGCAGTTTACTAATTAGAAGCAGGATAGGCTTCTTTAAAGAGAGAGGTTTTCTGGGATCATCTAAAGGTGGATAGAATAGGAGACAGCCAGACAGATTGGGGTAGGGAGTTCCATAGGATGGGAGAAGCTCAGGAGAAATCCTGGAGGTTAGCATGGGAACTAGAGCACAAAGTCTTGGGAGGATCAAAGAGAGCGGTTTGGTTGATATGAGACCAGGTTGGTAATGTAGCTGGGGGCAGAGTTGTAGATGGCTTTGTAAGTTGTTAGTATTTTGAATTTTATTCGTTAGGTGAGTGGAAGCCAGTGGAGGGATTGGCAGAGAGGGGTGGAGGACACTGAATGGAGGCCAGTGGAGGGATTGGCAGAGGGGTGGAGGACACTGAGTGGAAGCCAGTGGAGGGATTGGCAGAGAGGGGTGGAGGACACTGAATGGAGGCCAGTGAAGGGATTGGCAGAGAGGGATGGAGGCCAGTGGAGGGATTGGCAGAGAGGGGTGGAGGACACTGAGTGGAAGCCAGTGGAGGGATTGACAGTGAGAGATGGAGGACACTGAGTGGAAGTCAGTGGAGGGATTGACAGTGAGGGATGGAGGACACTGAGTGGAGGCCAGTGGAGGGATTGGCAGAGAGGGGTGGAGGCCAGTGGAGGGATTGGCAGAGAGGGGTGGAGGACACTGAATGGAGGTCAGTGGATGGATTGGCAGAGAGGGGTGGAGGACACTGAGTGGAGGCCAGTGGAGGGATTGGCAGAGAGGGGTGGAGCATACTGAATGGAAGCCAGTGGAGGGATTGGCAGAGAGGAGTGAAGGACACTGAATGGAGGCCAGTGGAGGGATTGGCAGAGAGGGGTGGAGGACATTGAATGGTTGGTGAGGTGGATGAGTCTGGCAGCAGTATTCATGATGGACTGGAGGGGGGAGAGCCTATGTAAAGGTAAGCCAATGAGGAGGGAGTTGCAGTAGTCGAGATGTGAGATAACCAGGGAGTGAATTAGGAGCCTTGTGGTATCATTGGTTAAAAAGGAGCGTATTCTGGAGATGTTGCGGAGGTTCAGGCGCCATGATTTGGACAGGGATAGGATGTGTCCAGGCAGAGCCCAAAGACAAAATGTATCTTTCAGTTTAGGAGAGGTGGGATGCACCCGGGAGAAATGATCCTCTCCATGTTCCCCCATCCAGAGTCAAAGAATCCTACGACATCCCACTGACCTCATGGCTCCTCTTCCTAATTTCCCTCCATTGGGAGTCAGGCCATCCTATGACATCACACGTTGACCTCACAACTCTTCCTCCTGATGTCCCTCCATCCAGCTCCCATGTCTTTTTTCCCGATGCTCTTAGGATGTGGGCGGACCCCTTGGAATCCTCACAAACAAAGCAGGACTGTTGGCCTTATGTTGTATATAATGACATCAAAATGCCTATGACCTGTTTTTGTCCTGCAGAGTAGGGGGGGCCTTGTGTGGGTTCACTATTAAGTGTGGCTTTAATAAAATGGAGATTTGACTGGAGAGGAGAATTCTGAGAGGTCACACAACATCACTCTTCTCTATTTAAAAAAACATAGACCTGAAGGAGAGGTGAGGAGGATTCTGTGAATGTCATTTGATTTTCTAGTTGTGTTCAAAATAGAATATTCCTCCTGTGAAGTCTGGAGATCATATATTTATCACATCGCCTCCACTCCCTCCCTGATAGAAGAGAGAAAAGAAGAAGAAGATTCTAGAAGTCACCAGCAAAATCATTGAATGGGAGGAGTGGGAGTATTTAGAAGGACACAAGGATCTCTACAAGGACGTCATGATGGACAATCAGCCGCCCCTCACATCACCGGGTAAGAGGAGACTTTATTGTAAAGGAGAGAGCAGTACGGAGGATCCACCTAGATCCCCCATCATCTGATAAACACATAGAAACAATGGATTCAGTCAGTGTGAACCCACCAGAGAGATGTGTGTTTCCTACAGAGATGGATCCAGTCATGGGAACCCACCAGAGAGATGTCCCCGTCCTCTGTATTCCCGGGATTCCACACAGGAAGGTCACACCATCCCTCACCATCATCAGGTAGATGAGGAACAATCACTGATAGTATCATTAGGATCTGTACATTATCTGCATTGTTACCATTGATAGCATTTTTATTATTCAGAGTGGAAACCTGAGAGATCCTAAAGTTGAGGTTAAAGAAGAGATAAAAGAGGAAGATGATAAGGATGGGGGGATGGGAGGAGGTAAAGTTTACAAAAGTTCTATATGAGGACACCATGGTGGAGTCATCCAGCTACAGAAACCCGCCAGAGAATGTCCCCGTCCTCTGTATTCCCGGGATTCCACACAAGAAAGTCACATCATCCCTCACCATCAGGTAGGTGGAGTTGAGTAACAATTATTGATAGTTTATATTTTATACACAGCATGTTTGTTACAATGAATATTTTATTATATATTCAGAGTGGAATCCTCGGGGATGATAATATTGTTGTTAAAGAAGAGTATAAAGAGGAGGATGAGGAGTATGGAGTGATGGAGGAGTTTTCAGAAGGACACAAGGATATGATGGAGCCACCTAATACCAGGAACCCCCCAGAGAGATGTCCCCGTCCTCTGTATTCCCGGGATTCCACACAGGAAGGTCACACCATCCCTCACCATCATCAGGTAGATGAGGAACAATCACTGATAGTATCATTAGGATCTGTACATTATCTGCATTGTTACCATTGATGTCATTTTTATTATATATTCAGAGTGGAAACCTGAGAGATTCCTAAAGTTGAGGTTGAAATCAGAAGAAGAAGAGGCGTATGTGAGGGATGATCAGCAGTCTATGGAGGAGGATGGAATAACGGGGACATTTATAGAGGAGGACACTCCTACAGAGATCAGCACAGGTGGGTCATGAACACTAAATCCATTCCTCCACCCATACTGCTCACTGATTGGTCCAGAGTCGGGCGGGGACTGGGTGATATCAGCCTGTAATCCCCTGGTCACTTTCCTGAGCTGTGTTCCCCGTCCTGTATTCCTGGATTTCTCTCGGATAATCTTCCTTCTCTGTGCTGCAGACACAATTTATGTATCTAGACTGGATTTATGGAGGTTCTGGGGTTCAGCTGGCAGCAAAATGTTGATTTTGTTCATCAACAGTGTTGCTTGACCTAGGGACCTGTGGCGAGTGCTTTGGATCTTTTGTCCCATGCCTGGTTCTAGTAAGATCCCTGACAGAGTAATTCTCCCAGGGTTACTCTGTAGTCTGCTGGCTGTGCCGGGTGGAGGGATATGTCTGTATAGTCTCAGACCCAAGTCACTGAGTGCAGTCTCAGGAGATGGGAGGCAGCGGTGTGGATCTCTGCAACTTGTCTACAGGAAACATTTAGCTTCTACTGAATACTGATCTTAGGAGTCCTGACCCTTACACTATATACTCTATTTTGTACATTACATACTCCTGACCCCTGCACTATATACTCTATGTTGTACATTCCATAGTCCTGACTTCTGCTCTCCCCCCTCCCCCCCACTGCTATATATACACGTAATATGGATTCTCTTTTGTTACACCAATTTCCTCCCAGCTGGACATTTTATATCGGATGATGTGATTGGAGCACAGACTTTTACATGGTGATAATAATGTGATAACATCCTCCAACTTTGGATCCTTAAACAGAAAGTGATAATGAGGAGGAGTCAATACCCCAATGATGTGGTCTTCAGGATCAGTCCAGTCTTCATCTTGGTTGTTCTCCCCCATCCTCACTCTCTGACCTCTGGTGGGGCTCAGCCCCGCTGTTCTTCATGACTAAATCATGGACTAAATAAGGAAGTGCAGTACTTCTTGTGTTGGGAAGATGGTGATGAGTGATAGAGGGGGTGGGGACCCTCGTCCTATAATCCCCTCATCACTGTCCCTCCTATAAAAGACAGTTCTGGTTGTTTCCTCACTCTCTGACTAAGGTCCATGAATAAAGAAATGACCTGGTAGGAGATCAGAGGAGCCATTTCCTAGTTCCCTTGAGGGTGGAATTGTAAGCTCCTCAGAGACCAAGCTGCCTGATGTGGGTGGAGTCCTGGTTTGGGGGAACCAATCAGCTCCTGTCTAGTATTCCTCTTTGTCTTTGTATTTTAGTCCATGGCCGGGAGATGAGGAAAAACCTCCGAGGATTGTCTCACTTTGTCTCCAGACTGGAAAGTAGAAGATGAGGACATCACACAGTATAGTCCAGGAGAAAACCTGGCTCCCTCCAATGTCCATCCGGCACCACCCAGTGTAGATGGACCATCGGATTCCTCGTATCCTGAGGAACCTCAGACTGTGCGGGACCGGGCCGGCCTGCCAACAGGGAAGATCTTCTCCTGTATTGAGTGCGGGAAGGGTTTTTGGGTCAAATCTGGTCTTAATAGGCATAAGAAAACTCACATGGCAGAGAAGCCATATTCCTGTATCGAGTGCGGGAAAAGTTTCAAATTTAAACGCAATCTTATTGTGCATAACAGAACTCATACAGGTGAAAAGCCATATTCCTGTCCTGAGTGCGGGAAATGTTTTTCAACTCAGTCCAATTTTTACGATCACCGGAAAACTCACACAGGGGAAAAGCCGTATTCCTGTCCTGAGTGCGGGAAATGTTTTATAACTCATTCCAATCTTTACACACATTGGAAAACTCATACAGGAGAAAAGCCACATTCCTGTCCTGAGTGCGGGCAATGCTTTTTACTAATATCACAACTTGTCATACATCAGAGAACTCACACAGGGGAGAAACTACATTCCTGTCATGAATGTGGGAAATGTTTTTTACACATATCAGGACTTGCAACTCATCAGAGATCTCACACAGGGGAAAAGCCATTTTCCTGTCCTGAGTGCGGGAAATGTTTTTCATTTCAGTCACAGATTTACAGACATCAGAAAATGCACACAGGTGAGAAGCCGTATTTCTGTTCTGAGTGCGGGAAATGTTTTTTACAAAAATCAGAGCTTGTTCTGCATCAAAGGTCTCACACGGGGGAAAAGCCGTATTCCTGTCCTGAGTGCGGGAAATGTTTTTCACAGCAGTCCGGTGTTCAGAAACATCGGAGATTGCACAGAGGTGAGAAGCCTTATTCCTGTTCTGAGTGCGGGAAATGTTTTGCACAAAAAGAACAACTTGTCATACATCAGAGGTCTCATACAGGGGAGAAGCCATATTCCTGTCCAGATTGTGCAAAATGTTTTTCAAAAAAGTACTATCTTTCCTTACATCAAAGGTCCCACACGGGAGAAAAGCCGTATTCCTGTCCTGAGTGTGGACAATGTTTTTCACAGAAGTCCCATCTTTACAGTCATCAGAGATCTCACACAGGACAAGAACCACTTTCCTGATCTAAGTGTGGGAAATGTTTTTCAGACAAGTCCATCTTTACAGACATCAGAGATCTCACACTAAGAAAAGCCATATTCCTGTCCTGAGTGTGGGAAATGTTTTGAAAATAAATCCCTTCTTGTTAAACATCAAGGTCTCACATGAGGGAAAAGCCATTTTCCTGCTCTGAGTGTGGGAAATGTTTTTCAGACAAGTCCAATCTTTACAGACACCAGAAATGGCACACGGGTGAGAAGCCACATTCCTGTTCTGAGTGTGGGAAATGTTTTGTTCAAAAATCAGATCTTGTCGCACATCAGAGGTCTCACACAGGGGAGAAACCCTACTCTTGTCGCGAGTATGGGAAATGTTTTTCAATGAAGTCCTATCTTTACAGACATCAGAGATCTCACATGGGAGAGAAGCCGTATTCCTGTCCTGAGTGAGGGAAATGTTCCTCACTGAAGTCCTGTCTTCCTGTACATCAGGGGTCCCACACAACCCTGCAGGTGTATTAGTGCCTTGAGTGCGGGAAATGTCTTCACTATGAATGTTGCTGGACATCCCAGCTCTCATGTGGGGAAGAAGCACACCCTGTTATACACCTCAGATATACTCCATGGCTGATCGTCATCATGGAAGAAACAGTTCATAAGGAGATCAGAGGTCACCAAAGACATGGATTGAAGGGAAATGTGTGTTTCTCGCCCTCCATTTTGTTTTCTATACTCCATCTTGTTATCCATTTTATATTTTGTCTAGATAATTAAATGTATAGTTGTGTGTGTGTGTTACGTGCTATAGAACTGCACCCACTCATCCTTTAAATCTAGTTTTGCTCAAGGCATGAAAATGTAACCAATTATTTTCTTTGTACTATAACAGCACCTGTTTCTGCTATGATATGCAGTGGGGATCGAAAGTTTGGGCACCCTGCAGAATTTATAGCATGCACTGCCCCCTTTGCAAAGCTGAGACCTGCCAGTGTCATGGATTGTTCTCAATCATCGTCTGGGAAGACCAGGTGATGTCAATCTCAAAGGTTTTAAATGCCCAGACTCATCTGACCTTGCCCCAACAATCAGCACCATGGGTTCTTCTAAGCAGTTGTCTAGAAAACTGAAACTGAAAATAGTTGACGCTCACAAAGCTGGAGAAGGCTATAAGAAGATCGCAAAGCGTTTTCAGATGTCAATATCCTCTGTTCGGAATGTAATTAAGAAATGGCAGTCATCAGGAACAGTGGAAGTTAAAGCAAGATCTGGAAGACCAAGAAAAATATCAGACAGAACAGCTCGCAGGATTGTGAGAAAAACAATTCAAAACCCACGTTTGACTGCACGATCCCTCCAGAAAGATCTGGCAGACACTGGAGTTGTGGTACACTATTCCACTATAAAGAGATACTTGTACAAATATGGTCTTCATGGAAGAGTCATCAGAAGAAAACCTCTTCTACGTCCTCACCACAAAAATCATCGTTTGAACTTTGCAAATGAACATATAGACAAGCGTGATGCATTTTGGAAACAAGTTCTGTGGACCGATGAGGTTAAAATTGAACTTTTTGGCCGGAATGAGCAAAGGTACGTTTGGAGAAGAAGGGGCACAGAATTTAATGAAAAGAACCTCTGACCAACTGTTAAGCATGGGGTTGGATCAATCATGCTTTGGGGTTGTGTTGCAGCCAGTGGCACAGGGAACATCTCACGAGTAGAAGGAAAATGGATTCAATAAAATTTCAGCAAATTTTGGATGGTAACTTGATGCCATCTGTGAAAAAGCTGAAGTTAAAGAGAGGATGGCTTCTACAAATGGATAATGATCCTAAACACACCTCGAAATCTACGGGGGATTACATCAAGAGGCGTAAACTGAAGGTTTTGCCATGGCCTTCACAATCTCCTGACCTCAACATAATTGAAAATCTATGGATAGACCTTAAAAGAGCAGTGCGTGACAGACAGCCCAGAAATCTCAAAGAACTGGAAGACTTTTGTAAGGAAGAATGGGCAAAGATACCTCAAACAAGAATTGAAAGACTCTTGGCTGGCTACAAAAAGTGTTTACAAGCTGTGATACTTGCCAAAGGGGGCAGTACAAGATATTAACTCTGCAGGGTGCCCAAACTTTTGCAGACGCCATTTTTTTGTTTCCTGTTATTTTGAAAGTGTAAATGATGGAAATAAAATCTAACTTTTGTTGGCATATTATAAGAATGTCTAATCTGTAATTTGATGCCTTTTGGAGATTTTTCCATCTTTCCTTGGCTTCTTTATGCACATTAATACAAATTTTTAGCTGGGGTGCCCAAACTTTCGATCTCCACTGTAGTTAAAAGTTAACCACTTCTGCTTTAAGGGAAAATACCGTGGTTTTTTGTAAATGATTCAAGGTCTGGGCGATATGAATTGTTACAGATGTGTCACGTACATAGCCTTGACAATAACCCAATGAAATTCCATTCTATGTTTTCCTGTTACAACTTATCATATATAAGGAGGAGTATTATGAATAAAGATTAGATTGCTTTCTGGAAGACTTGGTATGCGTGTGAATTTCTTCCTTGCAGAGAGCAGTCTCTTGGATCCAACGGGGGCCGAAACCTGCCAGTGGTCATTAAAGAAAAATCCCTTTCAGTTTGGGGGCTCGTCCGGGATCGGAGGGTCATCCTGTCTGGTGAGTATTGATTCATATTTCTGATATTTACCGTGACTAGGCTCTGGCCGGGTTCCGATGCCCACATACTTGGGAAGTATGTTTTAGAGAGAGGGTTTGTTTCAGATACTTGCCGGCAAAATGTATATGTACTTTGGGAAAGTACACAAAAAGTGAATACTTGTGAGCTATTATGAATGAGGTGTTCAATAGCATATTAATAATTAACTGCTTAAATAATGTGCTTGGTTCGCTGACACTTACACAAACCCACTTAATTGTGTATCTATTATCCAGTTATATACACTTATAGTGCCGCGCTCCTATTATAAACCCTTTATCACATGGTATATATCACGCTTATAAATAAATAAATTAAAAAATGACAAAATTAATTGATGTGACATATAAATTAATTAAAAAAATAAATATCAATATATCAAACCATTATTGTGCTAAAACATACCATATGTGCTCAATCAATATTTATAATAATGCCAATTCGATAATAAATGTGCAAATATAATTAATAAAGTGCATAAATAAAAGTCTTTTTATAAATATTTGCAATGTGCAGGTGAACTCCTTAATCCCTCTTTCCAGGTGCCGTGTAGTCTCAATATGCGCTCACCTTAATATTTGCCCAAATAATTTAGGCAAATAGACTTTTAGTCCTTCCAGGACTGGTGGGATAATGCTCCTATGTATAGTATTCCAGATGGAAATGTTGGTCTGCTAAGATCCTCCTATGATCTCCTCTTTCTCCATACAAGAAGCTGCTCATGGATGAACGTTTGGACAGTGTGTGAGAATCTGTGTGACTGAACAGTGTGTATCCGACTGTTCTACGGCTCTTCCGGTCAGCACCGATTCCTCCGATCCAGACTCAGCACACAGCTGCCAGGCTTCGCTCCAAACTTTGGGAAAGTACTTGAAGGACATTGGATGTCCAGAAAATATTGACACTGGCGGGATTGGGCCGCCGGACTCCTGCTGCTTGTCTTTCTATCGCATAAAGTATAAGATAATTTGTTGTGTGTAACACCGAGGTCCAGGTGGTAAGTGTATGGACCGGGAGTTACGGATTGTATATTCTACTAATGACTTGCCCTGAATGTGTATGGGGATTGTTTTTTAGTTATCATATCCCCGAAGGATATCTCATCAGCAAGGTAGAAAAGGGATATAAATATAAACTAGGAAAAAGACCTTTTTTTGATCAAGGCAGTCCTAAAATACAGGTAGAAAGGGTAAATTTACATTGTGCAGTAGAATTTCAAGAGGGACTTATGCAGGCCATAGATGGGTCGAAAATCGGCCGATTTTTTCGGCCGAAAATAAAATCGGCCGATTTTCGGATCGTTAGTGGGCGATTTGGTCGGCCGTTTTTCGGTATTTTGGCCGTTTTTTTTTTTTCGGTAAAGTTGGAAAAAAATCAGCCGATTTTGCCGATCGGCCGATTTTCGCGGCAATTAGTGGGCAAATCGGCCGATTTTTTTACCGATAAAAAAATCTGCGCATGAGCAGTGACCTGCAAGAGGAAGACAAAAAGAAGAAAAAGAAGAAGAAGAGGAAGAGGATGAAGAAGAGATGAAGAAGAAGAAGAGAAGAGGAAGAGGATGAGGATGAGGATGAAGAAGAATGAGGATGAAGAAGAAGAGGATGAAGAAGAAGAGGATGAAGAAGAGGAGGATGAGGATGATGCTGATGAAGAAGAGGAGGATGAGGATGATGAAGAAGAAGAGGATGAGGAAGAAGAAGAGGAGGAGGAGGAGGATGAAGAAGAAGAGGATGATGAGGAAGAAGGGATGATGAGGAAGAAGAGGAGGATGAGGAAGAAGAGGAGGATGAGGAAGAAGAGGAGAGGAGGAGGATGAGGATGAGTAGGAAGAAGAAGAGGATGATGAGGAAGAAGAGGAGGATGAGGATGAGTAGGAAGAAGAAGAGGAGAGATGAGGGTGATGAGGAGGATGATGAGGAGGAGGATGATGAGGAGGAGGATGAGGATGATGATGAGGAGGATGATGATGAGGAGGAGGAGGGAGGAAGGAGGAGGAGGATCATCTCTGCAGAGAGCTCTGCTATTTCTGACAGTTCTTTGACATTTACAGCGGTTGAAACATTGTATCTATTTGTTTCCGAATAAAAACATCTGTATCCTAAATGGAAACAAATAGATACAATGTTTCAACCGCTGTAAATGTGAAGGAACTGTCAGAAATAGCGGAGCTCTCTGCAGGGACACTTTTTGCCAGCTGTAGAAGGGATGAAAATCGGCCGATTTTTTTTTACCATTGATGGTAACGTCGGCCGCTTGAACGACCGAATTTTCGTTTTTTTAAAAGAAAAATCTGCCGTTTTTTCTCCCCATCTATGGCCTGCATTACAGTGGAAGAAGTTAGAAAACAGGTTAGAGAAAAGAGATATTATTACATACAGTGTCCTTTTCAGGACACAAATTAAGGGAACATCCATCCCATATTTTTACTTGTCTCCTGTCTTTTTTTTTTTCTCTCTCTGCCTCCTTCCTCCTCTTTCCATTCTGTTGAGAGTGATAATTGGTCACAGATCATTCGATTCAAGACGGCACTCAAGTGACTAGATTCACGTTTTGGGAATTACAACCCCAGTGGCAGTCGAGCACCGTGAATCACCATCTTCTTTCTAGTCTTGAATCAATCATAAACCAGACAGAATGGGACATTTAAGAGTAACAATACACCTTGTCCCGAACCAGGGGAGACATGTAAGGATTTTGT